TAAAGTTCAGCTTACCTTCTGCCAGATTGTTCTAAAAAAGGGTAATGTCACCCTGCAATGCCCTCTGCTGGGAGATGCAACTTGGAGCTGGAAGGAGAGCTACCGGTTCGTGTCCTCGGGCAAGGAAAAAATACTTGCGATGAGATGGACTGAATTTTCACCTTCTCGGTGAAATCCTGACCCCGTTGAAATCAGTGGGGTTCTAGCTTCTAATTTTCACTTTGCCCTTAATCACACACACACACCCCCTTCGAAAATTGCACTGTTATTACACTGAAAAAAACCCTGGTTTTACATACACAAAGATCTCATTTTAGCATTTATTGAGCTCCTAGAGAGTGGTTTTGTAAGGAAGCTTTCAGCTGCAAAAGGCATTGTTCCTCTTGACGTTCTTCTAAGTCACTTTAACTGTAAAAGCCTTTACAAAATCACACATGCAAATAGCATTCCTGTTACACAGGTGTGATTCTGACTAACAGATTTTCACTGAACAGGATTTTTTTACTGAGAAAAGGAAGTCAGGCAAATGCTATGCAGTAAAACAAAGGAGTATATCTGGAACCTGATGTGTGAGAACACCAACCCCGACAACTGCCACCTCCGACTGCCTCTGAGATGCAGTATCCTCAGGCCAGAGGAAGAAAAAATCTGAACCAACCCTACCAAGGAGTGAGATGCTAAGCCTGGAGTTCACACAAACAGCAATCTTGACCCTCACATGCATAGTGGTGGCACAACCCCATGGCTTACAGGTGAGTTATTCCCAGCTGAAGAATCATCCCCAAAAAATATTTTCAGCCTTGGCAAGGATGATGTAACACTATCACTGCTTTGGTTTCAGCTCCTGTGTCCCTCAGCAAGGATGGTCTTGTGTGTTTGTTGTTGGTCTCTCACCACAGCTGTGCAATGGGCAGTAAGTAGGAAGGATTTTTTTCACAATAGCACCCATTCCTCTCTGCTGAACCCTTTCTCCTTACAATTCATGTTCCACAGCTTCGGTCCTTCCTGGCAGACAATTAATTTTATACTTACTACTAATTATTATTTCTATCTTCTAAATGGAAACATTTTTTCCTTGTGATGTTTCCTCTGCATTAACCTGCTTTATCACCATCGGCCCCCCCTGCCCTGCTTTACAGGGACAGACACCCTTGGTGCCAGAGAATGCAGGTGCAGTAAAGCCACACAGAGCCTGGCAACACCATTTTTATTTGAAGTTACACATAATTATCATTGATTTGGAAGTGTGACCTCCTTGATACACAGCCTTACAAGCTAACAGGTTTTTTCCAGAAGTGACTTTATAATGTTTGTTATGCCCTCATGGAGATCGAAATGTCATGGTTATAAGCAGTTTTCAGGACTACACTAGGTTCATTAAAAGGCCCCCAGACGAGTAATTTTTTGCTTTGCATACTGTCCTGAAAAACTTTTGCTTCCCTTGGTAAGTGCCACACTGTCTCACTCATTTGAAAATCGGCATGTGTGGCTGCAAGCATCTAAAAGTATGTTCACCCCTGACAGCAAGGGCTCAGATTGTTACTCTGACACTCGCCTGCTCTTCTCAGGAGTATCTTCCTCTGCAAGAGATCTGAGGTGCCCAGGGATCAGGTGGTGGGTGCTCACATACCCTAACCCTGAAATGATTAATTCAATGAAAGGTTGGAAATAACTGAAAGTTGTTCCAGTTCTGATGCCAGTCTGGTCCCTCATGGGTGAGGCAGCTGTGCCAGAAAAGCAAACTGAAAATCCACCCTCTGAGCCAGCACCTTTGATGGAAGGATCAGCAGCGAAGTCCAAGACTGAATTGGCCTCCAGCTTAAAGTGTCCTCTGATCCAAGGCTGTCTCTCAACATCACAGACGAATAATGTTATATGAGGAATCTTGCACACGCTGCTATTTTTGCTGCCAAGCAGTCTTTCAATAAGTTGTCTCCTGATCTGATACCTTTACACAGAATAATTTCATCCACAGAAATGCTTGCTGGTGGTTAAATTATGGCCAAGAATCTACATTCGGCCCGAATTCACTCATGGTGATGCATTGTACCACTACTGGAAAATATGTGTGGTGTCACTCAAAATTATATTATACTGGAGTGTGACCAGGAACAGGATTAGAGCAATATCCTGTGACTGGGAGCAAGGAGTTGAACTGGTTCTACATTTGCTGGAGGCAGCAGAACACCTGGGTGAGAGGCAGTCACTGAGCTACCTCTGGGGCAAGAGGTGAGAAGGCAAAAAAGGGCTGCAACATGCCATCACCACATCAAAAAGAAGATGCAATCTGCCTGCAATCATTTCCCTCCTGGCTGGCAGCACGTAGCACTAGGAAATGACAGCTTTGGTATTCCCTGGCTTTGCTGACCTCTATCATCACCTGAGCCCTGGAGAGTTCATCATTCAGAAAAGAGGGCTGAGGAAAGCTCTGCTCAACCTCAATTAGGGCTTTCTTTGGTTTCCAGAGAAAACAGAAGAGACAAAGTAACATCCTGTCCTAGGAAGATTTTTTGTCCTCATCACTGTGGTGGCAAAATCCAGTTTCATCAGCACTGCTGAGAACAACTTACAGTAGCTTGAGGATTAGAGATCATGATGGCTTCCACCCAGGACAGCCTTCCAGCTTTCTGTACTCGCTTCCTAAGGATACACTAAGAAAGTATCAAGAAAAAAAAAAAAAGCGCATCATCATCAGACAAAGTGGTCATTCTGCACTTTTCCAGCCAGCCCTCAGCAGTCAGTAACCTTTCTGTTTGCACCAATACAAGCCCCAAGAGTCAGTGGGAGACATGATTTGCACAAGCAAATTCATTTATTTCCTAAGAGAGGGCAAAATTCAGGGCGTGACCTCAACTCCTTTCTCCAGCCACAGCTTAGCTGAAGACCCAGTATGTCAAATTCACCTCGGTGTGATTCCAGGGACTGGTCTGGAATCAATTTGACCCAGTAAGTCTCTTTGATTGCATCAGGCCTTTCAGAAGTTTTGAACAACAAGGATCCAAACAGCAGGCAGCAATCTGCACAAAAACAATCTTTGCAGTTTAAGGAATTTATAAAGGTCTGTGCCTTTTTTTTTTTTTCTTTCTTTCTGGCTTCAAATGCTTTCCAACTGAGCAAATGCTGCAGCGGGTTCATGGGAGAAGGCCTTGAGGCACCCCTGACTTTGGCACTGTTATCCCATAGACACTCCATACATTTTTGGCACCTTGCAGCTGACACATTGACAGCCACAGGATTGATGGAAAGGGAAAGAAGCTGTTTTGCAGTCAAAAGAGAATGTACTCAGATTTCTAAGGCCATTTGAAAGAATGCCAGAATGATACTAGATTTCGGCATTCTTAAGCTCCTTTAAGATGATGCAGCAAGTGGTCTTTTCCACATGTGATGATGTATTTCAGGACAAGAGTTTCTTCAAGATTTTCCAAGCCTGTGGGCTCCTGATCCTTTTTCAAATTACAGAGATGATAGCATACCAGGGAGAATTGTGATTAGTTTAAACTCTCCACAGCTGCAAGAGATGAATGTAAAAATTCCACCCAAAAATCCACTTCTTCTGGATTGCATTTACCTACACGACACCAAGTCCTGACCAAGGGACCACTTAAAAGAGCTGGAGCAGCATCAACACTATTTAGTTTCTTCCGTCACATCAACCCAGGGAAGACTCACAACTGTTCTACCCAACATATCTCCCCCAGCAGCACTGCCATGATACAGGCTGGAGTATTAACAGAGCCCCGAGATGCATGGGGAGGAAAATGGAACGATGAAATAAAAGCTTAAGTACGAGGGAATTCAAACAGGGCTTGCAACTCATTACATGGGATACCAGGAGAATTGTAAAACACCTTGTAACTGAGAGGCTTTGCTTGGAGCTGTTAAGGACTGCAGCCCCCACTTCATCACAGGCTGACAAATTTTGAACGGACTTGGCAACAGGGGGGTGCAGGCACTGAGCTGTCTCAGCTAACCTGAGCAGACGGCAATGCTTTGTTTTGCTTAACAGGACACCTCTCTCCACCACCCCACCCCCTCTCTCTCTCTCGTTTCCTTGGGTTTCTAAACAAATATAATAATATACAGCATTCACCTCCATCATTTCTCTTGAAGCGTCGGCACTGACAACGCTGGCAGTGTGCCCACCTTGAGACATCTGACCTTCCATTTGTCTCTGAAGACAGGAGAGGCTGGAGCATGCATTGTTAGACTGGTGACTGACACCTCCTACATCTGTCTGCTTTTATTAACAGGGCGATAGGCGAGACCCTGTTTTATGGGACTTTCCTCAAAAACGCTAAATAAAGTGCAAAACAAAAAAAAAAAAATCCCGCTTGCTGAGGTTGCCTCAGTGAAAGGCAGCCCTGTAGTACCACGGCATGAAGCCCCCGAACCCCTGCGGCCGGGCGGGAGGC